ATGACACATTCCCACACCATTTCTTTTCTCCCCTACATGACCGTTCAGGTCTGCTCCGAACAGGAGTATCTCATCCTGCGGTATGGATGTGATGTAATCGTCAAGCTCCTGCCAGAACATATCCTTATCTTCCTCCTTGCACCCGGTTTACGGAGCGTAGGCGGTGACAATTCGAAGGATTTTTCTACCAGTGTCATTCTTTATGCTCATGATCACTTAATCGGTCAACTGCGACAATCCTGCTTCTTAGTTTTCCTGAGACTGCTACACCTACTCCATTGCGACTGCTGCTTGTGCCATTGTAGAGGAGCTTATAGCCATCTCCGATATCGCGTGATTTTCCACCCTTCCATTTTGTTTCCTGTATGCAGGCTATACCCACTCGCCGTCTTCTCAGGAGCCAATTCTCGATATCGACCAGTGAGGGTTCCGACATTGATAGTACTGAATTTTCGGATAATCGCCTTCGAAGAGCTAGCTTTCTTACCCGTCTCCGCTCTTTGTATGAGGTGGCTCTAGCCTACTATTCGCACCCGCCGTGCTTGAGTGCGCGTCTCCCGGTGGATGCCCTAGCTTTTACTCGATATATTGGACATTTATTCATTTTGATGCGACGGAGTGTTTTTCAGCCGGCTTGTCTCTCACCCTGAGGGTAAGCCTGACGCTGGAATCGTAGGCAAGAGTTACGTCCCAGTGAGAAATCAAACCCGTGACCTCGCCGAAATGAGATCCTGGAAATGTAGAGCACTAACCATTCGGCTAATTCTGCCGCGATTCGGTGTTTTATTGCAGCATAAAACAAGGATTTTTTATCCCCCCCCCCTTTGAAGTTATTGCCCGCTCTACAAAAAAATGTTCTTTCTATCTCGAACAGTTAATTTTGATTTGCTCTACAGAGACTGCAACTTTCTGGCAAAGAACAAGAAGGTACGGCTATAACATGGTGCAACTACTTCCTTTGAAGAATGCTGTACATTATCATTACTTTTTCATTTCGACCTTCTTATCTATTTGGTTATTTTATTTTTAAGTGCATAAACCTCATGCTGCCATGTATAGAATAAAGATTTGGAAAATTGTTCTCGAAATTTGACTTAAGGAAAACAAAGTTAATTAAAATAGTAACAGTGTTTAGAGCGCAACATTTTATATTAAGAATTCAACAAACTGCACTATATCTATCAACCCGTATTTTCCCTGCAAAAACC